GCCTTGGCTGTGCATTAATAGTGAGGAGCCGGAGCTGTTTCCCAGCTTCAAGTTCCAAGGAGCCCATGTATATGAGGACCTGACCTTTAGTCTGAACACCTCATACATGGTCAAGAACGTCCAACTGCACCTTCTGTTTACTGAGGAGGAAAAGACTTCCCCAGAAACTGTTGTTACATTTTTATTGTAGCATGATAGGAAGCATTTGACGTATCATTGCACGGTCTGATACTTCAGTTGCACTATGGTAGACAGAGAAGATCTGTAGCAAGTAGTAAACCTGGCTCAATGGATTGTTGTCTCCCTACTCTCTAACGTGAGTGATATTCATTCCAGATGTCTCCACAAATTAATCTCTCATATTAAAAGAGACCCTACACACCCTGGATACCCCCTATTTGCAGCACTCTGCTCAAGTAGGCTCGGAACCATCTGCATATGAGCCAACAGGTTGAGAAACAGCTTCTCTGAGCCATAGACAAGCTGATAAACTCATAGACATCCAATTCCTTCTGAACTCAAGTGCAATATATATCTTGTAGGTACAATACCTGTCACATTCAATTTGTGATTCTTAATCTTTATATTGTCCAAAGTAACACAGTAAAGCCTTCTTAAAGCAGCAACGCGACAGGAAGTATTCACATGTCACATTCCACCAATTATACTAAAAATAAGAGGATTATTCCTCATTTCAGAATAAAAGGTAGAGCCATGCAAATCATTGCTTTATGCCCCATCAGCCAGATGTACATCCAGAAGTGCTGGTTTATAGTGCACAAATAGGCTTATATTACATGAGTGAGTTTATTTATGTATGTTAGTATTCTTAATGTTTTTTTGCACCCACCACTTTATATTGATGGATTTCTGAAGTAGTGTTAAGAGATGGCATAGATCTGCTTACACATTGGTTTGGTTAGGGTTATTTATTTATTAATTTTTTATTTTAAATGGGAATGATCTTAATTTTTTAGTCTATTTATTTGCATAAGGTGGATTAGTTGAACAATGCACAAAAGCACTATTAACTATTTTTTTTTCTTTTTTAGTAAAACTTCAAGTCGTGTATATTGGCTAATACACCTTACAAGAATTATTGAAAACAATACATATTGTTATTTGTATTCCATAGGCAATGGCCACTCAATTAGATGTGGGTGTATGGCAGCGACCGTTGTTGGTGCTCTCTGCTCTGGGTGTTAGTTGATGGTATTAAGGGTACTTGGTAGCTAGTGGATGTTGTGTTTTTTAATCCCAGGGTGGTCTCAGCCTTTATTTTTAACATGTTATGGAGAATGCACATATTTTTTTTTGTTTTGTTTTCTTTTGGGGTCTCCTATAGTAGCAAAGACAAATGTGCTTTTTTTTAGCTCTACCTTTATGCCTACATTTCTCTTATGGAGGATTTCTGATGTTGGGTTTGCTCAGTTCAGCTAATGCATCTAGTCACCTCTGTGGTTGGACATTACCCCCATACTTAGTACATATCCAATATCCCATATACAGTATGATATGTGATCATGCCCTGATTACTTTGTCTCTCCTATTTTCCTCACAATCGATTAATTGTACACAATGGCCTCAATGGGAGCGTCCTACAGAAGGAAAGCTCCTGGGTGGAGCTTCGGGCAAAACCCTCATCTTTTTTTGAACTGAATAAGTCCACAGACATGCGGCCAATTTCAGTTTGGGAAGCACACAAATGCTTTATATGGGGTATTTTTATTAAGTTGAGCTCTAGACAAAAAAAGAAGTATAGTGAAAAGTTGACTTCATTCATTTTATGTATTCGCTCTGTTGAAGCCCAACATAAAAAGTCTCAGGTGGTGCGGTTAGTGACGGAGTTGGCCATCCTATGGGAGCAGTTCAACTCTCTTCCTTTACCTAAAGCTATAATAAAATTACTTCATAGTAGGAGTCTGTTTTTATGAATTTGGAAACAAGGCAGAACGACTCCTTGCGCGGTCTCTTCATACTCCAGCCTCACAGGTCTATATTCCTATGATTGTCTCCTTTGTGAGCTGTAAAACGTTGCGAAAAAATTGCGAACTGTTTCAAAGATTTTTATTCTCTCAGATCCAATGTGGATCTTAGTTTGATTCAAAAAGACGATCTCATAAGTAAATATCTTGCTGGTTCAGCTTTACTGAAATTATCATGGTCCAAAAGAACAATGCTTAATAAACCTATATTCCAAGGTGAAATTTGAATTGGCACTCAAAAGTATGCCTTCGGGTAAAACATCGGGCACTGGTGGTTTTACATTTCTTCCTAACTTCCTGCACTTCTCTTATCTACAGATGCTAAGAAGGCATTTGATAGGGTAAGCTGGAGAATTTATGAGATGTATTCTTCAATATGTTGGGATTGGCACAAATGCAATGAAGTGGATAGATGTTTTGTATGACCATCTGACAGCAGCAGTTAAAGTTAACGTTGTTCTATCCACCAATCTTACCCTATCAAATGGCACCCGAGAGGGATGTCCCCTTTTGCCCCTCATATTTATACTCGCTTTAGAGCCGCTGTTACGACGTATAAAACTTATTTCAGATATTACAGGTATATGGGTTGGAAAGACATTTAACAAAGTATCTGCATATGTAGATGACTTGCTCTTTTTTGTAACTAGCCCAGAAACATTGTGTCACTGTGAACATCAGATCATGGGCAGTAATTCCAGCACCAGATCTCCTATGTAAATCTAAAGTGGTAACCTGTAAAGGCTTTTAAAGCGTCACCTGTGAACAGTAAAATTTACGTTTGTTTCCATTGCGCGGGTGTTTGCAGTTTTAAAGCGGAACATGTTTGGTATCTATTTACTCAGCCATAATATAATTTTTTATATTTTACAAACAAATTGGGTTATGCATTGTGGGTTTTTTTGCATTAAAATTTAAAAAAGTGTATTTTTATCCAAATAATTCTGTTAGAACAAATGCTGCACAAATCCTGTGTGACGTAAAAAAATCGCAAAACCCACCAATTCATCCTCTAGGGCCTTTGCTTTAAAAATATATAATGTTTGGGGGCTGTAAGTAATTTTCCAGCAAGAAAACCAATTGTTACATGTGAACAAAAAGTTCCAGAAAAAGCCAGTAGACAGAGCAACCCAAATGATTGCTTTATGACCCATCAGCCAGAACTACTGGTATATAGTGCAAATATAGCCAGATATTATAGAGCCAGTTATTCCAAACTGCATACAGTGCTTTCAGGCTTCAAGGGTAGAAATGCACTTTAGTCAAACCTATAAGTACATTTATACTTTTCTTTTTGGCACAAATCAAGCTAATAGTCTTCAAGTGTTAATTGTTATTTTTCTGTAGCTTTTAAATAGACAGACTCTTTAAATGTGAAGTTAACAAACAGCTTGTGACACATATAAGTGCATTGTGTATGGTTATTTCTCCTCTTAAGTGCGCCACCGGAGCTGCGGGGATGAAAAATGTGGCTATTTTGCTATAGCAAATGATAGTGGAATTAGTCCTTGACAGGTCCAAACCTTGGACTTTATCACATGTAAAAGATGAAATACAGGTTACGTCTCCACAATTTTTTCTCATAAAATATATTTATGATTTGGAGAAAAACAGGGTGACTCAACATCACTAAAATTGTCTGGTGAAAATAATTTAGTATGGTTTTCTCCTGGTACAAATACACTTTGCTATCAATCTGCTTAACTAGTCCTCTATACTGAATTGATTTTCTAATTCACAGAAAGGGGGTGCGGGGGTTGGGGGGGGGCTTCAACAGGACAAGTTTGGCTATGGAAGTTGACGGATTATCTGACATTTTTAGCTAAGCAGCACGAAGATGTTAAGAGAAGGAATTTGATTGAGGGCACCAAAGTCTTGAAAGCAGATTTTCTAGGATAGACTGTGACATACTGCAATAACTTTGTCATAAGAGCCTACAAGCACTCTGTTTTATACTGTGCTTTACTGTATTCCTATGAGCAGTGCTTTACATAGATACGTTTTTAATCTGTTATTGAAGAGCTATAGTCTTTTTAATGTTTTTTTTAAATATAGAAATGGAAGATATCACCTGAATGCAGACATACTGTATAATATACTGAAATGTTAAAGCCCAATTCTAGTGTAGAAAAACTGTCCAAGCCTTTTTAACATAAAAAAGCAGCTTTCACTGCAGTACCCTATGGGGTTGATTTAATAAAACTGGGGAGTGCAAAATCTGGTGCAGCGGTGCATGGTAGCCAATCAGCCTCTAACGTCAGCTTGTTCACTTTGGCTTTGACAAAAATAAAACTGGAAGTTGACTGGTTTCTATGAAGAGCTGCACCAGGTTTTGCACTCTCTAGTTCTAGTACATCTATCCCTATGTCTAACTTTTTCCCCTGCTGACTAAACATTTAGAGGTCCAGCACCAGTTTCCTTGCTGATGAAATGACCCCAGCATCATTCGACCTACTTCCTGTAATCCCAGGGTAATCAAGAACACGGCTTTCCTGGGGGTGTCATGAAGCCGTCTTTGGCTCCAAGGAAGAATGCTACAGAGCATCAAGTCACCAATGGGCATCCATGATTATCTGAATGTCCATTCTTGAGTTGTTATAATAGAACCTTACCTTTCAGGGAATACCAATTTTTTGATTATTTATTTGTATTGTTTCCCTGATAGAGCATGAGTGTCAGGCTGTAAACCTGTCCTGTGTTCTGGCTCTGCTGTGCTGAGGGCAGAAAGTCATAATATATCTGTGCTTGTCAGGATTTCATGAAAGAAAGCTAAAGGAGTTGTTAATTGAGAGTTTTACCTTATCCAGCAGCTAAGACAGTGTCAGGGTCTGGATCTGAACCCAGGACCTCTATTGTGTTTAGCAGTAACTCTTCTTACTGAGCTACCTGAGATTCTAGACAGCTCCCTGTCTGATCTGTTAGACAATTTTGCCTTGTACCTTGTTTCTTATGAACCTTGAACTCCTTGCTCATCCAACGAACCTCCTATTAAAGCCATGCCTTTGTACTTCCTGTTTGCCAGATTATTGTGCTCTCTCCAGCTAATTTCACGCTCTTGTCACTCCTGCTGCCGTCTGTATCTTCACTACCACTCAGGGGCGGACTGACCATTTGGAAACTCGGGCACTGCCCGAGGGCCTGGGGTCAGTAGGGGGCCCCATGAGATGCCCCTGGTACCTTTTTCATAGGCTTTTTTGAGTTTTGGCAAGGACACAGGGGCCCCATGATCCCCTATTGCCTGGGGGCCCCATGAGTTGTCAGTCCGCCCCTGCAACCACTCAATACCGACCTTTGGCTTGTTCCTCGACTACGCTTCTGCTTGATCCCTACCTGCTATATCTGCTACTGGACCCCGGCTTGCTCAACTCCCAGTGGGGCAATCCTGAGGACCACGACCTGGCGCTAACATGTAGAAAAACCTTTCACCACCATCAGAAACTCTGGTGAATACCTGATAGTGCTTAGACACTGCACCTCGGGTGGGCCTGCATCATCCGCCTGGCTGACCTGCTTGAATACCTGTCCTGCTGGTCAGTGGGAGCCTTTGTACTACTATAGCTGCTGGTCTCCGAGCCTGAACCCTGACTGTAATGGACAGACTGCCCTGAGCTCAGGCAGGACACTGCCTTGGTTGACATTATTTTTTTTATTGATAGAGAATACTAATGAATTACAGGCATACAAACCCATCCCTGAAAAGTAGGGATGCACTAGTACAACAACCCAAGAGTTCAAGTTCAGGTTCTTAAAAACACCCATTCCTAATAGTCTTGCTGGAATAGATGAATAAAAAGTAACAGAAGGGCTTTAATACTAGCCTTTACTGAAGAACTTGCAGCTCTGGCCTTCTCCCAGTGCCAGCCTTAAAGCTTAACCCTTAGTCCAGAGAACTATGTTTAATGTTTAAGTGTGGGAGATCATCTTCATTAAGAGAGATCAAAAGGCTGTTTGCCCAGGATTTTATTTTAAAAAAGCTAAAAAAAAAAAAAAGAGCGCCACAACTGGGAATGTTAACAATCAGCACATGTATCATCACCGATTGATTTTGATGTAACCAACCTTGTTAATGTGTTTATGTGTATATACACGAGAAAAAACATATGTGCTCATTACATATGCAGACTCTGCTTCCTACTTAGTAGGACTGTAGCAATTGTTGCAAAGGTGCTGAAAAGGTGTCAGCAGGTGGGAGGTCATTCTTAAAGAATAGCAGTGCTCTTTGGTAATTATTAGATTTCAGTGATGCACAGAAACTGTGGGATGAAGGTAATGTGGTATCTTTGTAGCAGGTTTTGAAAAGCAAGGCCCCTTTATGTTACCATCTGGAAAAATCCCAAACTGGAATCCAGTTTCACTAACCTTGGAAAGTCCCCTTTAAGTAAACTTCTTTGTAAACCTACCAGCAATATTACTTTTTATATAGGGACAAGGTCAGTCTATCAGGGACAAGGTGAGGCTTACAGTGGCAAAAGTTTTAGCTGGACTGTCAAAGTGACGATGTTGTCACTCAGTGGTATGATGGCTGTCTTGCTCGTTTATCTTATTTAGTAATGTCCTATCAAAATCAACAGCACTGTCTGTGCAGGAATAAACAAGATGGCTTTATGCCAAACCACATATTAAAAAGTTGAATAAATAAACTTCTTTCAATTGAAATGCTGTTTTACATATTTTGGGTTTACCTTTTGCATCTCTATTATAAACAGTTTAATAATCTGTAAGCACATCTGCTGTTTGTTGAGGGCACATTTACAACAAGCTGATGCATGGGCAGTTTTTGGTGCATGTTAAAGGGAAAATATCAAATGTACATAGTGTATATTCACAAGGCAGCTACTTTCAGCAATAGCAGCCTGCTGCTGCATGCTTTGTGATACACCCATACACCGTGACTATTTCACGTAGGAAGCTTCCAGGTCTAATAGCAGAGATCGTTTTGTAGCCATTCGCAGTCTTACAGCCTCCAATAAACATTCCTTTGAAGTCCTTTGAAATCTTCTTTGATTTAGCCATTTTGCATTTCAACAACATTCAAATCTGAACGGCAGGTAACAGGATTTGTATTATATGTTTTATACAGAAGGACAGGAAGAAAACACATCTAAGTAAATTGGAACAGCTGATTATTTAATTGACTGCCTAGCTCCAGTTGCCCCCTTTTAGGGTTTTATTATCCTAACTATTCACATGTTGCAGGGGTGTCCAATCTTTTGACTTTCCTGGCACACTTTGGAAGAAGAGGAATTGTGGCGGGCCACACATAGAATACACAAACAATAAGGAGAGCTGATGAGCAGAAAAAGTTGATCACTGATATAAATAATGTACCTGTCCGAGTAATAATACTTCATTTTTTTATAATATTTTTTATTATAAAAGTAAAAGAGGGCAACATAAAGTTAGTGTGATATTTGACACTGTTTTTGATAAACTAAGGCAGGCCATAGACAGTGTGATCAAATACAGATAAGATTAGTGCCAAACTAAAATCTATTCTCCACTTAATATAGTGAGTGCCTATTAATAAATATCACAGTGCACACACTTATAACAAACACAAATGATCCAAAAACTATATACAATGAAGGATAATAAATTATAATACACAGTGCTCACACAGTGCCAAAGTAAAAACAGTGTCCTCTAAGTTGGAACAAACTCTTAGCAATGTCCTTTTGTGAAAAACAATATAATCATGCAGTGTAAAATGGTGATATATCCGTGATTGTGTCAAGAAACACTTCTCCTGGTAACGGCTAGATTGCCTCCTCACCTCCTCCCAGTGACCCCAAAGGGCCATCAGGCTTGCAGGATCTCCCTGGATCCTTGGTTTATAATGGCCAGCAGCTTCCTTCCTTTACTGGGTCTCCTTATTCTCTTACTGGGTCTCCTTATTGGGGCTCCTATCGCCCCTGGACATCCAAGATTTTTTCTGGAGAATAATAGCTCACCAATCCAGTGAGCCAAGAAGAAACTCTAAGTGCAGTATTTCCAACCACTTTCTTTTATTAAAGGTTAAAGAGTAACACTCACATTTCAAAGCAGTCTTCCCTCCTCACCGATGTGTGGGTACACTGCATGTGAATAGGACTTCCTGGGTGTAGTAAAATGGCGTCGCACGCCGGAAATGCGTCACCACGCACCGGAACTACGGACTCGCGAACCTACGCGTTACGTCACCGTCTGCTCGTGACTTCCTCTGGGTGTCATAGACAGTGTGAATTTCTTTCCTGCAACAGACAGTATTGACAGGGGAATCCATCCCAGCAAGCCTTCCATGCTGGGAGAAGACAGTGATTATCGCTAGTGGCTATAATAGCTGCTAGTGATAAAGCTGCTAGTGATAATTGCATGTAAAATCCGGCAGGCTGGTTTACCCAAGTTGATCAATCAATCGATCGACTTGGGTACATTCAGTCTGCCCATACATGATTCGAATCTCGGCAGGTCTCTGCTGAACCGTCCGAGATTCAAACCATCTATGGCTGGCTTAACACATCAATATCTGGTTCGATGGATGGAGTAGCAATTCTCAATGAATTCTCAAGGTGCTCATTAGATATTTTGGTTACAAATGTGCCCTTCCTTTGCTTCATCCTTGAATATACAGTAGTTGCTCACAAATATACAGTAGGCTTTCAAAAACTGATGACATGAATAAAGCATGATTGTGAAGAGTGGGAGATTTTTCTTTGGGAAGATAAAACTTATAAAAGTCCAGTAAAAAGACACTGTCAGACTTCTTTTAAATTACATTTACAATTTTGTGTTGGGACACATTCATAGCTGTCTTGGGCTGATATATTTTTTACATCAATGATCTTGGTTTTTTAAAGTGCACCTGCACAGCACACATATGCCACAATCCTTACTCACTAAATATGCTTTAAAGTAGAATTTCTTGGCTTATACTAACTATGCTTAAAACTTGCACTTCCCCCTTCTAACACCTATACTAACTAAACTGTGTAAAAAATGTGTATACTTCTTAGGTCACTCTGGTCACATGATCGACTCCCCTACGTCAGGCAGTGGCAACTGCATGAGAGAGGAGGGAGTGCCGACAACAGATGAGCTATGTATGACGTCACTGCTCATGCATTTCCCACCATTGTTGAACACTCTTTCAGCTGTCCTGTAGCAGGCGTTCGCATTCACACAGGGCAGCAAGTGACCAGACTGGAACGGCCTGAGAATAGGTAAGTACTAGAGATGGGAGCGTCTTGAAAAAAACAAAAAATTAAAAATTGGGAGAAAAATATATTTTTTTTTCCCAAAGCCGTTTTCTGTAAAATATGTTCTTTTAGAATGATACGTAATATATCTATGACATGGTATTCAAACTATATAGCAAGAAGACCTTAATAAAAGGTTTCTGAGACTTTATGTAAAATCTTAAATTATTACGTCCTCTCAGCTGAAGACAAGCAAATCATGGAATACAATTCAAGTAACACTGTACTTTTCAATGCAGTTCTCAAACAGGAGACGTGTATTTCTGCCAGTAGGGCACACTGCAGGGGCAAGGCTCTAGGTTACTTTTCTTGTGGGCTTCATCTTGTACCTCCTACACTTGGGTGGTTGTTGAGATACAGTAGATGATAGATTCTGTCCTCTCAGGCCTTAATTAACAGGTACTGTAAGAGGGTACATTTGTCTGACAAATTAGTTTATCTTTATAACCTTTAAATGATTCCTATTAATGTTCTCCTCCATCACAGCATAATGCTTACCTATAGTCTGGTCCAGTAAATTGTTTTTTCTTTTCCTCCTTCTGAGACCAACATCAAGTTTGGAAACGTTTTACGTTGGTGCAATTTCTGCTGAGAGAAAACTGCGATTTGCAAATATTGTGAGAAAAAATATTCTTTCTCCAAATGCTACAAGGATGCCAAAACACATCTCTGAATGCCAGAGGTGCCCTAAAGACATTAAAAATACTTTATAAGATTAAATGATGAGGACCAGAATGAAAGTGCAATTAGCTTTTCCCTCCAGAAATGTCATTCCAGACACTTTCTGCAGCTTCTGGACCAATTTTAAAATGCAAATTTAGTTTATTTACCTAATAAGCTG